CAAAAAAAACAAAAAAAAAACAAACAAAAAAAACAAAAAAAATCGAATAAGTTATCGTTTTGAAAATGATTATCCATTCAATAAGAAAAAAAAAATTACCTCTTTTTCATCTCCCAAGATCTCCCCATCGTACTCCTCCAGCATCTGAGGTGGAGTATTGAGCAACTGAAATGAATATAAAATACTGTTGGTTTCTTGCTAAATTAGAGGTACATTACAGAGTGCTAAAAATTTACCTCATATTCAATTATCTCTTGGTCAGACATTTTCTGCTTTTTCAAGGGCAGAGAGTTTTCTTTATCTTTTAGCTTTCTCTTTGAGGAGCCACCATTACAATTTTTTTCGTGCCTTCTCAAATCATATGCCCTCGAAAATTTCTTCTCGCAGTTGGGGCAAGGAAACTTTTCAGTAGTGTCGTTGTGTCTTTCCCGATGATGCCTTAACAAACTTYTGCGATGTGTAAACKTCTTCCCGCATGCAAAACACTTCATTTCATCGACCTGCAGAATCGAAAGTGGAGAACAAAGCTTTAATACTCTAAACATTGCATAAATTTATCATGCTGATTTGCTTTAAAAATACCAATAACTATTTTTCTTGAACATAGTTAAAATGTAGTTAACTAATATTTTAACAGAATACYTTACCTTTTTACTCGCCGTTGCCTCTTCAATCCACTGCGAAATAAGATCGGTCACCTCTGGGTCGATTGCTAAGTTTTCCATGTTGTGTTTTTCAGTTGAATTCAGCTTGCAATGAGGCCAACATTCAGCTCTTTGGATTTTATAGCCAGTCATCTGCTACGTCATAATCCCGTATCATAAACCCGAAACACGTTCTTCAAACAATAATGAACAAAAGATCTGCTGAGCTAAGTACTAAGAATTCTACTGAGTCACGGTTTTAAGTAGAGTGTTGGCGCCTTTTTGTAACATAATTTTTTTTTTTTGCTTGTTTTACTTTGGGGTTCGCGCCAACCCCTTAATTATGTAAATATACATATCCCTGCTATTGTTTACAGTAATGATGAAAAGGTAAAAGGTATCCTGCTATTGTTTATTCACAAAGTAAACAATGGTTCGCACAATCTCTAGTCGAGACTGCAGTTATGAACTGCACTGCATCCCAAGACCTAAAAAGTGGTTGAAAATAGACTAGGTTAAAACCAGATAGTACTATAAAATCAAGTCTAAACAGCTGATAAAAGAATAAACTTATTTCGTACTTATTGCATGACCTCGTAATTGAAAAATAAATACCAAGAAATTTGCATATCACTCATTGACAGCGTATAAAAATCTTAGTTTATTCTTTTGGGTTTCAAAAGCTTTTAATTCCTCGTTATTACAACATGAGAAAATCAAAATGCTGCCACCACTTTAATGTTCCCGAAGTTCACCCCCGTTGTGGCAGAAAGTATTCTGAATGTGCTCACACGATCGAAATACCTCGGTGTTCTATTTGTCCAGACTACCCAGACTATTATGCTGCATGTCCTTATTGCAAGAACAATTTTTGGACCTGTAGATGTATRTGGACCAAAAGTCTACAATCCATGAGCTCGACCAAGAAATAGATGGAGTGTATGATTCAAGATGGATGAGATTTAATAGAACAGTTACATATAGTAAACTAAGCAGTAAACGTCTGGTCTGGTGTGCGCCAAAACCTCGTCACAAACACATTCTAGTTCAGTTATTTGATTTTTATGTGTTCGGGACACTTGATTCTCATATAGAGAATCTACTTCACAGTATGAAGCTATTAAAAAACAACAACAACAACAAAGAAAACAACGAAAAAAAAAAACCAACATAATAATAATAAGTCGAAGATAGGAATGTATTCGTAATTGAAGAATGTATTCATATAATAAGAGCATGTTAACAAATAAAAGAATCGTGTCACGCACTGGTTTGGTGATGTCATGCACAATAGTAGAAACCCGAGCCAATCGTTGGGCCGGATGACTGGGGTTTGGGGTTGAGCACCGGGATATCCGGGGAGGGGACTAGGATCGAACACTCAAACAATAGCTGGTCGCCTTAGCCAATAAGCGTCCTCGTAGGGT